AAAGCGCAGGCTCGGTCTGCAGCAGGTAGCAGTGGCCGCACTCAATGCTTCTTCACGGCCGCAGAGGAAACAGTACTCGGGCCACTCATACCATGTACGTGTCCGTGTGTGCGCCTAACCGTGTCTATCAGTGTGAGTGGTGCAGTCGCAGCCAGAAGGTGCCCACAGTGCCACGCAGCGCCGCAGCGTGGAGCGCTGACCTGCGTATCGCTGCGTCAAGTCATTTTAAAAGCGATCAAATTCAGTACTTCCGCTGCTGTCTGTTTTCAAAACAAAAGACGCACGGGTCGCAAATCTCAAGGCGCCCTACCAAAGTAAATGGATATTGACAATAATCCAGAGATATATATATATATATATATTATGAAACATAGATAGCATTGAATGTTAAAAACTAATAGCAATAAATATAAAAAAACAAAGATGGTTTTGGGTGAAACTATTTGCCTTTGATAATAGACTTCTAGCTATGAACAGAGATAGAGTTCACAGACAGATAATGAATTTTATTTTTCTTATCAAATAGTTTTGTTGTTGTTACAAGCCAACCTGCAAAATAGGATTTTTTTTTCTTACACAAATAAAAGTTGCATTAGCTGACCTAAGCCACAGGTGTCAAACTCAGGCCTGTGGGCCAAATCAGGCACCTGGTTATTATTATATTTGGCATTTTTTTAATACATTTTTGGTTGTTCTTTTGTTGGCCTGTGAAAAAAAGATTACATTAAAAAGGACCTCAAAATGTTAGAGATAGAGAGAGACATATAAGAAACAGAAACCACTGATGTGTGTTTTATTTCAATTCATTTAATTCCTCAGGTTTATAATATTAAGCTTTCATTGTTCCAGGTTTAATGTTTAAGCAACACTAAAATCTTCGTCTTCGTCCCAGTTTTTAATTTTGGCCCAGTGTAAAATTGAGTTTGTCACCCCTGATCTACGCAGTACTTCCTGTATCAGTGGGTTCTCCTCTGAGCAGGTTGACAAGCTGAGATCAGGAACAAACACACACTGTGGGTGTACAAGGCAGTGCCAATGAATTATTTATGAAGAGAGGAGGAACTAATACCTAAATCATTCATAATTATTCCAGAGAAAAAGGGCCTGTGCCAATCAAACTTCACTCCCTCCTCCCTGCAGACCACGGCGTTCACCATTTCAAATGATGGATGAACAAAAGGTTGGCCACAGTCAGACATTAGTCTGACCCCTTCTTCAATCAGTCACTGAAACTACAGTCTATCAGCCAGAATTACAATCAGAGAGCATGAGTTAAAGGGCCTTGAGAGAACTGTCCATTCATCTGTCTGTTCATCCATCCACCCATCCATATTAATTATCCTCATCTTCAATATCAAGGTCTTTGGATGGTCAAAGGAAGCCATCTGTTGATGTGTTGGTACAATATGTTCTATAAAAATGTCAAAAATAGGTTGTGAACTTCAAACTTTTTAAATATGTCTTTAGCTACATGTTCTTTGTTTTAACTGTTTAACTGTCCCTTCATGTTTTGGCTCTAATTATACAATCCCATGCTGCATTAAAATATTCAAACATTTGCTTATTAGGAGACGTTTCTGTTGAGGATAGATAATACAGAAACACAGCAAGAACCAAAACAATCCTAACTCAATAATATCTCCATGAGAGGAGACAGTTTCAGGAACCATTTAGAAGAACCTGACTTGTACTAGAGGCTAGTGTTGGGACGGTTTTAAAATCTGTTTGATTGCAAACAGATAATGCACCAACTCCCTCTGATGGAGTGAAAGAAAAGTACAAGGCAAATAGCAGTGTTAGCTGCAATTTGTCAGTTTACTAGATTAAAACAGAACCAGTATTGGACTGTGAGTCTCAGCAACAGAGCAGTAACCACTCCTTCTTCAGTAAACACTGAGTATATTTACTTTAGCAGACTGTACCTTCACAGGTCTACAGGCTCTAGGGCTGACCTTTGTCCTTTAGGGTGTAAGAACATTTTAACCCCTCCTTTGATTTTCACCAATCCTTCAGATTATTATTTTACTGCTGCCCTGACAGAGCAATGACATGTGCTCTATGTCATAAAACTAACCACGCGGTCTAAAAACCGAGAGACTAACATCCCTATCGCTCATGTTTGACACTTGCCAACATCACATATGTCCCAGCTTGTATAAGCTCCATACCTAAATATAGCCGTCAGTTGGCAGCCATAGCAAACCTGCCAAAGGGCATATTTGTACTTTTAAAGGTCCCTCTCTCTGCAAATGGTAATGAGAAATACCTGAGGGAGGCCCTGGAAACCGGCAATGGTAGCCTGAGAGTACGCTATCACACAGTGTGTCTATAAATGTGTGTGTGAGAGCATCTGTGTCAGTGAGTGTTGACACCTCCCCTACATACAACCATGGACACTTTCCACTCCAGACAACAACATCTCTGGAAACATTCTGAGTCCACTCTGAACCCTTTTGTAGTGTTGGTTTTCTGTGTTCCACCATGTTTTTCTTCAGTCTGAATACAAAGAATGAAAACAGTGAAGGTGACTGTGCAGACCACACTGCCTAAGAATGTCAACAGGGGGGATTAATAGAGGCAAACAAATGATTTGCAGCAATATGAACAGACCTGTGGGGGGGAATAACAGGATGACTCACAGTATCTGGACCCCAGATTCTCTGCTCACCCATTGATTCTAGGCCTTTTGGTTCCTTGAAATGTTAAATATGTGGAGAAAAAAGGTGTAATTTTCAATACATTTATTGAAAACTTCCCTTTTCCCCAGGAATGCGTCATACAAATATTAGACCTATATTGGTTAAAATGTGCTCAGATACATCTAAGAGCACCAACAGATCATGTGACCCTGAACCTGCTCCTGTTCTTGAATCTTGTATGAGATTGATTTTCTTCAACAACTAAAGGACGTCCCCTGAAAAATTCTATTTGATATTATTTTATATATAAAAAACACTCTTCTTCTTCAACTTCTTCAAACTAAAGTTTTTACTCCTCAATGCTGGTGGCCATGTTTCATCACCGCAGTTTGACCTCAGGCCACATGGGGTGTCAGTGTGTTTAATTAGAACTCCCGACTGCTCGACTGAATCTTTTATCATTGTAGAAATACAGCAACAGAAAATCAAAAGGCTGTTTTAACTCTAACAGCACATCCAAGAGCAAGTGCCAGCATAGCAACAGTTGCTAGGCAGAGATGGGGCAGATCCCTAAAGAGATGATTTTCTGATTTGGTAAGTCAGCCATATCGAAGTAATTCCCTGAGGACCTTTCCCATCCTGGCAATACGAGGTAATGTGTCAGCCAAGGTATGGAGTAATGGGAGGTTGATGGTATTCAAATTTTAATTAAGAATTTAACATAAGGCAAAGGCATAAGGCAAATAGAAATCCATGGGAGCATCTGTTTAATAAATTCATGAAATGCTGCAGTTAAATTTATAACTGCCTCCATTTTTCACAGCAGTCCAAACACATCAGAGTTAAAGATTAGGGGAGTCGCAGTAACTCCATTACTGCGATGATGTGCCAAATGTACTAGTTCTAGTTCTCTGCAGGGGACTTCAGCTGTTCGCTCAGGCTATTTCCCGCTCTGAAATACTACTATACTTCATACAAATACAATTTAGTAGTAAATATATGTGTGTGTGTATATATATATATATATATGTTTGCTGCAGCAGCCCTGTCTTTGTCTCTGTTTTAGCCCCCCAGTTTATTATCAGCAGCACCACACACAGTGAATACACCTGAGAGCAGTGAAAGGTGTTTTATTATTTCACACCTGATGATATCTCCAGACGCTCTGCCACATTGGCTGGCTGCCATCTGCCATGTGATTAAACAGGATGTAGTGGAAGCTTCTGTGTGTTTCATGTTTTCACCTCTAAATCAGATGCAACCAAGTTCTGAAAACCTCGCAGTAGAAGATACAAATACTAATACTACAAAATAATAATAATAATAATAATAAAGAGCTGTCCTTATTGTTCCAGGTACAGAAAAACAAAAACAAACTTCTTTAAAACTCTTATTTTCATCCAGGTCTGCTCTGAAGGTTTCATTCCGGCAACTCACACACAGCAATATGGAGTTTGGATTTTGAAAAGACTCCAGCTGTGGAATATAAGCACGACGTGTAACTAAATAGTTGGATAACAACAGCAGCAGTACACTGTTCTCAGACTCTCCGTCTCCAGACTCCTCTGTACTCACCACCTGCGGTCGCCCCCTGTAGCTCTGAGAATAAGTTCTTCATCAGAGCCAGGATATCAACAGAACAAAGGCCTGGCATTTCTGCCTCGGAGCCATCTCCAGCTTCTCCTCTAAACTTTTCTGGGATACAATTTTCACTGCAGCTTTACAGCAGGATTTGACGTGCCAGCCTCCTCACTCACTGCTGCTCTCTCTTATAATCCACTTACACGTTTACCTTCTTTCTTAGACATCGGCCATTGTGCACCCTGCGGACCACATCTTAGCCAAATGTGGACATACCGGTAAGCTGGACCTCCTCTGGCCATATGTTGTGGCAGATTAGTTTTCCCACTTCAAATCTGGTATCCAGAAAGTGGGTCACATTCTCATGTCCTCGTGCTGTAGTAGATAATTAGTCCAGTGAAATGTAGGGCCAGAAGGTAAAGTATGAGCATATCAATCCCTCTTTTCTTCCTGCAGGGGGTGCTATAGACGTTTAGATGATCTAGTTCTCAAGTCAAATGTGTTGCTACATAGACACAAATATTATAATTTAAAAAAAAATTTAAAACTTTAAAACTTAAACTAACAAATATGTGTAGGTGTGATAATAAAATTAGGGCAAAAAGTTTAGAACTGTGAGTAGAATTGAACTGGTACCAACTATTCCAACTCATCCAGCACAGGAAGAAAAATGTGCTGATGTCAGTTCCTCAGATTCACATTCCAAAGTAAAAAAATATATAAAAAAGTATCTTAGCAGATAAAATAGTTTTCCTTATTTTAAATGTACAACAACTAAGGTTCAGTGTTTGTGTTTAATGATATTGATATGATAATGATATTACAATTGCTCAAAGGTCAAAAATCAGAATGGACCAAGAATATAAAGGTCCGTAAAGAATTAGAATTAAAGAACAATCAAAATAAGGTAAACACACGCCAGTCGTTCACAAACAGAACAACTGTCAACTTTGACAACATTCTCTCTTTAAGTACACTTTTGTTTTTCATTCATTAGAAACATCTTTCTAATGAATGCAACTGAACATTGAACTAACATCTAGAACTAAGACCAAACTCCACCTCTGATGGAGACGACATGGTGCAGTGTACCTTCTTCAAATTCAAGCTCATGTTCCAGAGAAAGTGGATCCGAGGATATGCATCAGTATCACGTGAGCGAAATCACTGATGCTCTTCTTAGAGATTCCTGTGATGAGGCTCAGTTCTCCCACAACCTCCAGAGCAAAAAAACAAAAACAAAACTGAGATAAGACACATTTTAGCAAGAACTCCTGCTGATTTAAAGTGACAACCTCCTGTTTACATATTTTTATACTTTAATTATACTGCTGACTAAATACCTCATGTGTATCAATAATATTTTTTTCACCTGCTTCAATTTATTGACACATTGGACGAAAGTAGCCACAGTGATGACAGTGACGCCCAGTAACATGTTGTCTTCGGTCACTGCCACAAACTCCTCTCTGCAGGCGAAGAGCAGGTGATGATTTAATTTGAATTGTTTTTAAATATTTACTATTGTAACTTCTTTTAATGTGCACCATGTTCATTAAAGGGTTGTCCACGCAGTAATGCCCTGAACTCTGCTGCCACCAAGTGGCAGAAGAGGACATATGTATATAATATACATACATACTATATATATATATTTCAGCAGCCGCCCACGTGAATACCAGGGTAAACGCTAAAATGTCAAAGGTATTCTTATAACAGACTGATCATGAATGGTGGGTTTGTGTTTCGCAGGAAAGGGCTCCTCAGCCGTTTGAAATCTGATATAAAGCAAAGCCGAAAACCAAAACAACGTCGCCAGTCACAGCTGCGTGTAATCTACTCAACCATCAATCAATCAGTCCGTCTGTTCTAGCATGGTGGTAACCACCTGTCCCAGAACACTGACAAACATATGTGTTGTACAAATGTGATACCTCTGTTCCGTGGTGGGACTGACACACTGAGTGGTGGCCTTCAACAATGTGTCAAAGATGGGAGTCCTCTGGAGGCTGACAAACTGGAGAATGTGGTGGCAAAGGTCGTAGAGGTCCTCCACAGGGATGGAGGGCTTGTTGTGTGCTGATGGAGAAGATATTACCACAAATTACTGCAGAATTCCAATTGTTTCCTAGTTGCTAAGTTTGGACTCTTTCTTACCGAGGACCTCCAGTAGTATTTCCACATAGATCAGAGGATTAGGAAAATTTAGTCTGTATTCAAGTCCTTTCAAGATCATCATCTCCGTTTCAAAAAGAATCTTGGTGGAAACACTGTGGCCGACTGAGTGCAGAAACTGCACGGCCATCCTGTTGTTGATTACCTGCATAACATATCAGACAAACTTCTTTATTTTCATCTTATGAGCATGAATGTTGTTATCATTTTTATATCTCTGAACTCACATTACTGAACAGTGACACTTTGCTGGCAAGTTGCACACAGGAGAAAATGATGATGGGAAATTTGTTCTGGACCTTTTCAAATGCATTTTTAGACTTTTTTGACCCTTTTGACCTAGTGGCTGCAGAGTGAGCAGTGGACAAATCCATCAGGTGTTTTACCATGAATCTGAGGGTGACAATGATGATTCACATAAAGACAAAAGTAATGCCAATAATGGAGGAGAGTGCAAACACCCTTTTTTCCCCTTTACCTTTGAAGTAATTCCACAGCATGGTATCCAACTTGAGGGTCGAGTCCTAGTTCTCTGGTTATCAGAAAGACGTACTCTGGTGTTTAAACAAGCAGTTAGGTTAAAAAAACATGATCAAGGGACTCTGTAAGTGGATAACCTTCATGCAATAAAACAGAGAAAGCAAATGTGCTGAGGAGTCATCTATGTAAAATGACACAGGGGGAGATCTCATGTTGTTCTGTGGGATCAATACAGTGAAATCTGAGCCAAAACTCCATCAGTATAGATGTTCTCTAATGAACTCTGTACCGTATGGACAAACAGACACTACAGACATCATAAATCACTCTTTATTACCTAACTGAGCATTCACAATATTCATTTAAAATACTAATATAAATTGCACTTCAGTCTCACTGGCTCATTTTGTTAGTAATCACTTAGGTAAGTTGAAAATATAAAAGATATATACAGCTAAAGTCATTTAACACATAAATGAAATAACTTTAGCTGTGTGTAGAAGAAATGCGCGAATAAACCGTCTGTACTGTAATAAATGGCCCAATGACCCGTGGTGCACAACGGAGGATGTGTTCCGCCTCCTTCCGCTTCTACCACTGTCGAACAGCGAACATCACCCCAACCTCTATGGGAGAAAACCTCCATTCATGGATTGATGATCAGGGATTGGTATTGAGGTAGGTACTGGGTATCAATTATCAGGAATACTAACATCTACTCCTAGTACGCATACTAGGAATGAGAAAGTTAATTAGGATTATAACAGCTGTGTGACGTAAATTAAAATTCAAAATAATTTGTGGCGTCACTAATTAACGTCTATCCAACCTGTGAATATAACAATGAAAACAATAAAACGGACAATAACCTAAGTACCACTAAAAAGGTCCTGTTACAAAAGTTAACAAGTAAAAGTTTAACTCGTAATGTTACAGCCACTATAACGAAGCTTACCAACCACTCTTTTGTCTTTGAAGACTCCATTACACGTTGACAAATTATTGAGGTTGTCTTTGTTTCTTTCGTTTAGATTAATTAGAAAATCAGAGAGTAGGTCGCCCGAGGCTTCCCGAAACTTAAAGCCTACATTTATTTTTTCCATTTTACTACTGACTGTGAGCCCATAAGCGTACACTTTACATATACCCAAGTCTACATAAAAACATGACGGGGGAAAATGTTGCAGTGTTTTATTTTCCAGAAGATGGCGACACTGACACAAGTCAGTTTAAACCTTTTCTTGAAGGAACCAAAAGCGAAGGGGACTCATTTGGATGTTGCGCAGCACTTTTCCGGTGGTGGCAGCAGTCCCTTTTCAGCTCAGATCTGACAAACATAGGGATGAACCCCTGACAGAGAGGTAAACGAGGGTAACTCACCATATCATTTGGAAAGTAGCTGACTGTAATACACTTCGCCTTGACCACAAACATGGCTGACAAGACACCGACAGAATCCGATGCTCCCTTCGCAACCAGGATAGACCCAAGTAAAGAGGGTTTGTCTCCACAACAGTTGCACTTCATCAGACAGGTAGAACGCGCACAGCTACAGAAGAGAACACAGAAGCTACACGGCCGAAACGCGGCCATGGGACTCGCCGTCGGAGCAGTCGTCCTGGGAATCTGTATCCTTGTTACACTAGTTACAGCACAAGGTGAATGTTAGCTTAGCGTGCTAAAGTTTACTCTGTGGTACCTCGTTTTATATTAGAACTTGAACAAGACTGGTAACCATGGCTATTTAGCCAAAAATCAAGACTTGCCTTTAAGAAATAGAATAGAATTTTATCCTCACTCTCCTCGGGATGTGTCCTCGGTAATCGGCGTTGCTTCTAGGCCCAGTAGGTGGCAGTAATGCAGCCCAAAGCATATCAGCTGCAATTTAAACCCAATGAGGAAGTGTGATAAGGACAGAAATTGACAGTTCAGAGAAGACAGACTTTTATAAGATGACATTAATTTTTTGTACATATCTTTTTTGTTTTTGAGGTGAGGCTGTAAATGTGTTATACGAACCAAGACACTCCAGTTGCCATTTTCTTGACTACTTATGATAAAAATGACCTGGAGGACATTAAAGTGAAAGTGAACTACTTGTAAACTACCACCAGAGGTGAACATCCTGAAAAGGTAGTGCAGCTCATTGAGCGAGCCTGCCGTTCACCATTACAGTTGCAGTACAAGTGCTGCTTCTGTGTCTCACTGTATGTTTTTTTTTCAACTTGTTTACCTTAACTATTTAATTGTGCATCAGATGGCTACACAATTTACTCAGTTTCCCAGGAGAAGATCGTTGATGAACTTGATGAGGAGGCCAAACGTCTCAGATCACAGCAGCTAAAGACTGGTGCCAACTGAAATCAGAGTTTTGGCTGTATTTTGGATTGCACCCAGTGTCCTGCACTAAAATCAAGAAAAGACTGTTATGGACACTGATGCTACTGATTTGTCTTCATCGACTGCCTTTTTGTTCTTCCAAACCAAAATATGGCCTTTGTTTTGGTATGATGAGTAGGGCCGGATTTAATCAATTCATTCCACCTGTTCACATGCAAGTAGAAGATGGCAGGTACAACATTTAAGTCAGGATACATGAACACCACGGTGGCTCTACCACAAAGAACTCCAGTGAAACTGCAGAAGAGACACAAGTCAGCATGTTTAAATGTATTATTTGTGTGACAAAATGTGCAAATAAAATTCTAATGTATTAGATTTGTTGATTTTTTTCTCTCCTTTTTTTTGTGCAGCAAGAATGACATGAACATTATATTTACAGTTGCATTTATTTTGGTCAACGGTCGATACAGAGTCTGATCTAGCCTCTAAGTCTGCGGTAAAAATATAAAATAAGACCATTGTAAAGTGAAAGGCACAGATTCAGCATGGCAGGACAGCAACTTCAGAAAAGCAATACATTTATATATTTACATTCAAATTTTTTAGAAACATCTGTGAATATATTATGAATCTGAACAGGAGTTCTCAACGTCAGGAAAATTCAGTGTGCTGGGAATATTTTTCACAAGGCAACACAAACAGATTCACAGTTGGGACTGATTTTCAAGCACATCGTCTTCACTGTGATCCAGTTTCAAACATTCCAATAAGATGTCAACTGCAGAAAACTCACATCTTCCTGGTGTGAGCACAGTTTTTTGCCACAAAAGTGTGAAATGAGAGAAATAAAATTTTACTAAAGTGCACAAGGTGCTGAACTCACCAAAAAAAGCAAGAAATATAATTTTTGCTTGAGCGAGATCTAAAGTTGCTGAGTGTTTACCCTGAAGGTGTAAACAGAGTCCATAAAGGTTCTAATATATACACATGCACGAGCCAGTAGTCTAAAACCTAAGGTGTCGTTTTTAAAACTTAGAAGCATAAAGTCAATGCTATCTGAAAATTAGCTCTGCTTACTTTTTTTCACAAGCTTGGAAAAAATACACAGGAATCCACAGCTCCTGTACTGCATTTCTTAATCACATATCATCTTCCTCCCATCAGCCACTGCTCCTTTATATTTGATCTGAGATGATCGATCTCCTCACAGGACATATTTATGATACATGTCCATATAAACTGTCAGGCCCCAGGAAGGCTGTGAATGATGCTGTGAAAAAGTACAGAGACATACTACAGCAGACGAGTGTATGAATCCATCAATGCAGCTCTGCCTTGTTCTTATGCTGATGAATGACAATGAATCAGACAAGCTACCGCTGAGAACAGTTCCTCAAACTGCTTAATTACAAATCAAGTCATTCTAGCACAGTGGTTCCCAAACTTTTTCTGCAGGCCCCTCCCCCCCCACCCCCCCACACCCTTTTAACTAGTGAAATTGTTAACCCCCTCGGCTCTTCTCCCACATCCACATATTCACAAGTACTACGTCAAATCTTTGTGTTTCCCCCACTTACAACTGCTTTTGCTCTCAGGGGGCAGCACCCCCCTGAGTTGGGAACCACTGTTCTAGCAACAGCATTTCTGAAACATCGCAGCCCAGATGATGTGGCCTTTTTATTTTGTCATAAGCTATGTAGTATGTTCAGATATGCTGTGTCTTGCACTGTATTAGAATGGTTTAAAATACTTTAAATATTGAAATTTAAATAAGGTTTTTTCTAAGTAAAATCTAAAGGCAATTGAGAGTTTTAGCCTAAAAACTGATGATGATGGCTTTTGGAGAGGCAGTGTGGGAGTCTGGTCACTGCCAAACAATCTTTATTATATTTACAAGAATGTTGTCACTTGTTGATTGGTCTGTGCATAAACTGCAGTAAAAATTACAAAACATAAAATGTTGAGTCTTCGCAGTGTGGCTGATGTGTGTTTTTACTGAGGTAAAAGACCACTGGCAGCAGAGGGGGCGCTGTTACTGTTGATCGATGTGCAGATGTGAAGTGTGGAAGTCCTTCACAACGGTTTGACCGCTGCAGTCCCACTTCACATGAGGTAGTCCAGATGTACAGCATGCTTGGCTGAGAGTTTGTTTTTTTACTAGGAAAAGGAAATACAAAATGCACAGTTAGACAATTTTTAAGGGAAGTCTGCTGATCAAACATGTATTTTTTAAAACTTACCATTCTACCAATCTCACCAGCAAAGGTGACACCTTTGCTGGGTTTATCCTGGGAACCACTGCTGCTGCCTCCAAGGGAATTTCTCCTAATAATCCCTAGAATATCAGGAGATACTGTGGTTATAAACCACCCGGTTGTGTTATGCTCAGAGATGTGTTTTAAAGAATGAAAATTCACTTACCTTGGAGTGGCAGAATGTCCAAACGCTGCAGGCTGTTCCTGCGTGATGATGGGAAACCACTGCCCTTAGAGAGACGCCGCTGCCGGCTGGACAGCATAGCAGCGGGAGAGACGATGCCTGGAGGAGGAACCTTCCCCATCTTCTCATAGAGCTCTTCTATCTCTTTCTTCTGAGCGGCCTGCAGGCTGTGGACCTCTGTCAGGTGTCTAAGGGACAAAATGTCAGAGTTAGATTTTTGACCTCTGTCACATCTGCAGACTAAGACAATAAGATTCACAGGAGTGGATTTGAACTTCAAACACCACTCACTTCTCTCTGAGTTCCTGCAGCTCCACCAGCATCTCTTCATCATCACTGTCTGAATCGTCACTACTCAGATAAGGAGTGTTTCTGCTGTTGTACGTCATCATCCACAAGTGATGGAGAGCGTTGGTGTACTGCGGGCTGCCCGCCGCTCCATCCCACAGCCTTCCCTCTACCTCGGCCGCCGTCACTGAGAGTCCACTGTCCACGGACGTTCCCATCAGGCTCAGGCTGTATGCTCTCCTTCGACTCCTCCTCCTTGTTCTCGGTCTCTCCGCAACAATCGCTGCTCCTTCTTCTTCCTCCTCCTCGTCCTCCCCATCCTCCTCTTCATTTTCCTCCTCTTCCTCTCCTCTTCTGTCCTGTTGCTGTCGCTCCTGCTGCTCCTGGCCAACAGGCCTTCCTATATGAGCGTCCACCTCTTGGAGAAGCCCAGCTGACCCTCTGTGGTGTTGGGGGTGAGGGGGGGACATGGTGAGGGAGGTTCCAAGGCTGGTCTCAGACTCCCCCTGCTCCTCCGTGCTGCTCTCTGATGGAGTCGTACTGCTGACCTCAGGCTGAGACCTCAGAGCAGGAGGTTCAGCACCTGGGGGTCCAGCAGGAGCAGGGATGTCCAAGCTGGGTGTCACCTGGAAACGCCCCACAGTCACTGGTGCGGACTGAACGTCTGCAACACAGAGAGACAAATGGAAAAATAAATAAATAAATAATGCCTGATGCTGTCAGGCAGAATACAGGGTTGTGACACTGCAAATTTGTTTCACAAATTTTGCTGACAAACTATATTTGAACACAATTTCACTCACACACAATACAAGCGTACAACCTGATCAACAACAGACTGATCCCGTCAATAACTGCTGGCCTGAACTGACTGCTGATTTTACTGCCTGATAATAAATAAACTCTTTCTTTTATGGACATGTTGTTTATGTTGTATCAGTTGCTGACTAACTGATACACAGTTTATGAAGTAGTAATATCTTACCAGTTTGAATGACCTGCAGCTAATGAGTGGCTCAAAGCAGTGAGTGTTCTGTAATGTGATTACAGCTGATTGACCATTAGGACAAAATCTCCGCACAAACCTGAGGGTCAGGAAGTGATTAAGATTTAATCATGTGTTTCTTGGCAACAGACTGGAAGAAGATGTGACAGAGATACCGCTGTGACTGACTGTAGTTTTCTTCTCAGCGTGATGACAGACAGACAGTGTGTGTTCTACCTTTATCTGGCAGAAACAAGGCTCAAGGAAATACTAAAACTCCAGTAAAGGTGGATTTCCTCTATTTTCGGACAATTGTGACAAGCTGTTTATCTCTGCGTCTCATTTGAACCAAGTGCACGTCCAGTCTGCACGCACTCACATCTGCTGACAGGTTATGGCTGCAATATCCTGCAGTGTCTCAGTTTGCCCACTAAGTGTCCTACTTACAGTAAACACAGAATGTGCCTGGGTCTTTGCCCACATTCAACAGAGTCCCACTGTTGAGTGGTTCTGAGGCGGGTATAAATACTGACAGGTGTGGATGTGGGAGGAGAGGCCCAGAACAAGCAGCCGGGCTCTCAGATTGGTCAGAGACGGTGGGTAGTACCACAATCACACCTATATTTGTACATTCACATTGAATGGGACATTACATCCAAGTAGCTTACGCAACAGCTCCCAGTGCACAGCTAATGGACGATGCTGTCACCAAGGACATGACTAAACAGAAGCTCTGAAAACAAGTGAAAAAGCCAATGGACCGTAATGGAAAACAAAACCAAGCAGAGAAAAAAAACCTGTAGTATTTGGCTGTGTGTGCCCTCTCGTGTGGGTCTGTTTGGGTTGCAAACACACACTTCAAATACAGTATGTTATCACCAAGCACTACCAGCCACTGCTCTGTAACATGCTGTACTTCTGCAGAACATCAACACACTTCTTACCAGATTCTGTAGAAGGGCTGTTAGGTTTGGGACCACTGCTGGTGACCTCTGGTACAGCAGCGTAAGGTTGTGTGCTGAAGGGTGATAACTAGGCAGAGAGAATAAATATTATTAGTAATTTCATGTAAATGCTGGGCTGGGTATACAGTATTCATTTCCCAAATTACATACAAAGATCTAGTTAACGCCCTGTGGAAGTACAGAGGCACAGCTTTAGGTCGTGTCAGGACACCAGGTTCCCAAGACTAATTCAAGCTCATGTAAAATTATCCCTTGTGGGATTGACACAGAGTAGCAGTGAGATTTGAATCTAGACAAAACAGAGCTGCAGAGGAGTTTCTGAGTTTCCTGAGTAGAAATGTTACAGCAAAGACGTATTGTCCAACACTTTCTGAAAACAATCACTCAAAGATGTTCCTAAAGCCCTGGGTTATAGGCTGTCATTATAACTAGTTAATATAAGCTCAGTGTTTCCCAAAGTGACGGTCTGGCCCCCATAACAGGGCACAGTTATTCCAAAGGGGACAGCAAGCAAATGTTCACATAGTGGGAGAATCTCCTTGATTTGAAATTGTATTTTCGTTGTTCAATTAAAATTTTGTTTGTAGTTTGTAGTTGTAGGAATGACTTCATTTAAATAAAGTTTAGTGGAATTTTGAAACACTAGCTGTGAATGTGTTGATGTGGCTTTAAATTTACATTTAAAAGGATATACTTACATCACATCACCATATTTTTCATTCACTGTAAAAAACAATTCTTGACAAATACATGTAATGTATTTCTTTATATTTTAATGACACTGTGTTTAAATTTTACAATCCATTAGCACCAATATATTTTCAGGCAATAATTGTCAATATAATTATAAAGTTAATATGAAAATCATTTTGGAAAAAAAGGCATTTCATTCATCATCATTAAAAAAATGTATCTTCTTAAAATCAAGACTTTAGTTCAATATGTGCCAGTGTCATGACTAGTTCCCTGTAGTCTCCCCAGTTTCACACCAAAGGAATGGGTTCTCCAACCAATCAGTTTTTTTTTTTTGTGGTACTATCCAATAGTCGTTCTTCTGGAGCAATGACTATTTTAGGGCTCGGAAAAACACTTCTGTTACTTAGAATTAGTCTATGGTCACTGCTGTAGAAAATAAACATAGGTTTACTGCGTCTACTACTAGCACTATTTCCTAAGGCAAAAAAACACGACTATTTCTCTACATATCCTAACATAATTACTGAGCTGAGTAAAACTGAGAACTCACAGTGCTTTCAGGGCTCTTTGGGGTCGAAGGGGAAAGATCTGACAAGGAGTCTGAAGTGGAGACGTGTGGTTGTGACGAGTATGGAGCCACATAACTGTGGAAACTGTCCTCCTGGGAAAGACTGGGAGGACTGGAGAGTCCAACCTGCTGCAGAGGCTCCTGGGGGATCAGTGGAGGGGTTGAGGGCATGGAGGGTGGGGAGGCAGGATGGGCCCAGCTCAGGTGAGTGGTCGGGGGGAAAGAGAACCCGTCCATTTGAAACGAATGTTCTGGGCTGTGGTAGACATTGTTCTGTGTTGGGATGCCAACCGTGGGGTAAGGGAGGTCTACAGGTGTGGTCTGGTACTGTTGTGGGTAAACAGAGGGGTAACCAGCCTGTGGAGCCATGTGAGGGGGTAGTTGGGGATGGAAGCCTGGAAAGGAGGGGATCCCCTGGGCGTTAGGAGGGATAAAAGACTGAGCCATGCTCATGGCCATGGAAATCACATTAGCCAATGAAAACAGGGGCTGTGTGTGAGGAGGCCACATGTTGTGAGGCTGTGGAGCAGGTGGGGACAGGGTCATGTTCTCACTGCTGAGGGGGCTTGGGCTCTCCTTCTGAGGACTCGGGGAACTCGGGGTAGGAGAAGGAACAAAAGGCAACGTGGGGTTACTGGCCACACGGGTAAGAGGGGAGTGGACCCCTGGTGGTTTAGGAGAACCTGGAGAGCCAGGGTATGGGAATGGAAAGTGTGTGTGGCCAATGTAAGGTAGGTGGTAGTGCTGATGATGAGGCAGGAGGGATGCTGGGTTATGATGGTGTTGATAATGGAGTGGAGATCCTGAAACAAAAAGATTTGATATAAAGATTAATATCACACTGCAGAAACAGTTTGAATCTTTTGCAGAGTCTGCAGCTGTAGAAAGAACTGCAGTGAAAACAAGTGAATGAAAGACCAGCTTTGTAACTCCTTCCTAAGGACATAAGACGAGTGTAAATTACAAATGAACAATACTTCAGGTTGGCCAAGGAATAATCCAAACCACTATATATTAGACCCTTAAGTCTTCCTTCTCTTCTCATTTGCTCCTTCCAGTTCTACCCCCCACGCCCATTGGCAGGACATACGCAAAGTGGAGCATAAATCTTTCCTGTACTTCCAAATAATGGGTTTTAATGGAGAACAAAGACATTCTGTTCAAAGCAGCATCCGGCTATAATTGCATTTGTACGCAGCAGCTCACTAGCTCAGGGGGCTTCAGCATCAATAGAGTGAGTGAAGCTGAGGACATTTTAGAGGAGTTTAAATTGAACCCACATGCGAACGTAACCCTTGGGGTTCCGATTGTCACAAATAAATGCGGCCAGAATTTTTTTGTCTTTCACTCCTGGGGGAAGAAATTAGCATGTCCAGGTTCTCTTTCTGTCCATTGATTTGACATTTAACTCCACAATGGCTCCACAGTTGAAAACCACACCTCCTGGTTCTGATGATGCAAAGCAGCCACTACTTTTTCCATGCTGATGGAAACATAATGTTGGGCAACACTCAGTGAGAGTGGCAGGAGGCCAAGGGGCTGTTGCGCAAGCTAGCCTGTAGTTAACATCCAGCAGAGAGAGGAGAGGAAGACCACAGAGGATGAAAAATGTTCAGGTGGCCAAGGAGGCTGGGCCAGGGGACATATGGACGATGTGTGCTCCTACATTAACTTCTATGCCCCCCCACGTCCCCTGCTATTGGGGAGAAGACTTTAATGGGGGTGGGGGGAGTGAAGAAGGGCTTCTTGGAAAACCAGTAGGAGTGTGTGCTGGCAAACAGATGTAGTCGAACATTACTGTGCTGCAGCAAAGCTGCTGGTTTACAGCAACTGCATTCAAAGCTGCCTAAAGAGCTAAAAAGCACTCTTCAGGTGAGGTAATTACCCAGGAGGGCCTGCTGCAAAGC